TGTAAACAAGAAAAATATTGTATATAGTTTATACCAAATTTCATAAAAACTAGTACAACTGAATTATTCAGGCATTTTTCCCCTAATTCTTATTATTATATAGTCCAAATTCTTTAAAGGCAATTCTGATGGATTTGAGAGAAAGATCACAGAAAGAAGTTAATTATTTAAGAAAACAACAGGCTGGCATGAGCTAATATGTTTTACTTTTTGTACCAGTATTGATCACATATTTACATATAACTTGGTTTCTGTTGTGGGTATACAACCCCCCCAAAAATTATTGTTATGTTTGGACATATTTTCAAAGAGCCACTGCAGAGGGGCCAAAGAGTCACATGTGGCCCCAGAGCCACAGGTTGCAGACCCCTGGCCTWTGCTGAGAGCCGGCTCTGAAAACACTCGACCGAACTCTAAATCACTTTGGTCAAATTGTTGTTTTTATGTGCTTTATAAATAAATTGCCATTCTGCTCTCTGAAAGCCAAACCACATCATTCTGGACTATGTGTTCTGTTCTTTGTCTTGAAGATGGTTCATCAGTCAATGAGGGGGAGCTGAGCTGGATTCARGGTACAGGTCCTCATTCTTCCATATTGTTCTGTGTTGCAGCAATAATCAGCTACATGTTCTCATCATGTTACAATGTTTTTGTCTATAAAACAATCCAGTCTGTAAAAATGGACCAGAAGTATGTATGCCCACACCCTGGTGGTCCTCCCTAAAGTGAAACCATGTACGGTAGTACAAGGTCAGATAGTGGTGCTAATCCTGTTTGTCCTGCCCAACTCAAGTCTCTTCGGGGAAAAAAAAAATGCATTTTAAAATGTGACTTGTTTTGACAATGGTACAAAAGCCAATTGTGTTTTGTGATGATGGAATTATTTCTAAGCCTTCTGGCATCAAAACAATACATGCCCTTTAAACTTAGCACAAAAAGTAAGGAAATGTGTTTGGTAGATTATTTAACAATACTTCTTGGCCATAAACGCAGCAAAGCTTGTTAATTCCCCATTCAAATGGTGCCACATTTATAAGGAACATGCATTTGTGGGATAAGCAGTAAAGTTGATTATGTGGGCTGTACACATGAAAATTTTGCCAAATCTTTGCCAAACAGCTTATTTTGAGCTCCTGGTACCCCCCAGGTGCCTGCTATAAGACCCGGGGTCTCATTTATAAAGGATTGTGTGGAAACCATACTAAAAGTGAACGTACGGCCAAAAGGCAGAAGTGGCGTATGCCAAAAAAAATAAATAAATTCAGATTTATAAAAC